CTAACCTGAGACATTTGCCATATCACATGTGTCGATGCATCTGTGATTTTAGGTAGCCTGGTTACTAGCTTGCTGAATGTGGTATCAAATCCTGCTATAGAAAGTCACTGGTGATGTGATTTGGGGTAAGTCAATCTAATATCTTTCAGCCTAAGTTTCTTCATCTGTAGAATGGGTTGATAACGTCTACCACATAGGGCTATTATGAAGATCAAAATTTACATATGTACATAAACATATGCATATACATACATATGAGTTGTGAAGTGTTTCAGAAACCTTAAACCGCCACATAAATGTTAGCTATATTATGTGTCCCTGATCCTTTTTTGTTCTTCTATTAAGATTATTGTATCGCGTGACTTATATTCATATAACATCATGAGGATAATATTAATATTAAAAAAAAGATAGGCTTTTGCAACCTAGAGATGCTTTATGCCACTGAATGTGTTGATCCCTTGCTTCCATTCAGTTCTGGGTTCAGATTGTTACCTTTCAGTAAAATGTCCAATGTAAGTGCCAACATACCAGCTCTAGTCTTACTTTCCTCATTTTGTAAACCATATTTAATGGACTTCACACTGACTCTCCCAGCTGCTAATGCCTTAGAGTTTCATTTTTTTTTTTGTATTCCCAACACCTATCAGAGTATCTGGCACATAGTAGGTACTTAATAAATGGTTACTGATTAAATGCTTGATTAATGATCACTTTGGAGATACTTCAAAATAGCAATCAGTTTTCTAGTGAACCAGCATAGTGGATTTTCAAACATTTTAATAATAAGAATAAGAATAATGACAACAACAACTAGTGTTTATATAGTACTTTAAGACTGGCAAAGCACTTTATAAATTATCTCATTTTTATCTGCACATCAGTCCTTGGAGGTAGGTGCTATTATTATCTCCATTTTATAAGTGAGGAAACAGAGGCAGACAGGTAAAGTGACTTTCCCAGGGTCACACAGTTAGTGACTAAGATGTGATTTTAATCCAACTCTTCCTAATTCCAGATCTGGTACTCTACCTACTGTATCACATAATAGCCTCTAAGTAAGTAACATCATGATATAACTATTTATCAAGCTTTTGCACAAATGCCTAAATGACATGAACATGCTATGTATGTGAAAGTCACAAACTCTGATGTTCCATTACTTTGTTTGTAAAAAAAAAAAAAATTGTTGCTGTTGCTAAGTTGTTTCAATCACGTACAACACTTTGTGGCCACATTTGGAGTTTTCTTGGCAAAGATATTGGTATTTATTAAGGCATTGAGGGGTTTTTGCAGAACCATGGACTTGAAAAATTGGAACTTCATTCTGCTATCTAGTCCAATCAATATGTGAAGGAACTCCACATGAAGATCTAGCTAGCAAGTATTTGCCTGCCTTTGCTTAAGTTCTTCAAAATCTTTACTTAAGATTTTCAAAGGATGGGATCCTGCTACAAGGCAGTTCATTCCTCTTTTGGATGGCTCTAGTTGTTAGGAAGGTTCTCATGCCCACTCACCCACTATATCAAGTCTAAATTAGCCTCTTCACAACTTTTACCCATTGTTCCTAGTTAAGCCATCACATGTGGACTATGATAACTCTAATCTCTCCTCCCCATGACATCTCCTTCCAATACCTGAAGACAGCTAGCCTCCCTCTACTCCAACCCAAGTCTTTTATGCATCAGCAGAGAGAATAACCCACACTGATAAAATCACAGAACCCTGAGGCATTTAGGAAGGACTATTAAAAGATTATTATTTCCCCATCTTTTCATTTTTTATTTTTATTTTTAAAAATTTTTTCATCATATTCACTTTCAAATATAGCCTGGTCACTGTCTAGGAAACTTCCCTTGCAATTAACAATAAAAATAAAGTAGAAAAATTAAAACAGCTCTGATAGGATAGTCATTGTTTTAGGTCAATAGTCTTTCACCTCTGCAAAACACAAAAAAAGAGTCCTCTTCAGATTTTTATTTTTAAAAAACACTTTGTTTGGACCTTTCCTTTGCCTTGATAAGATTCTATTACACTCCTATTAGACTCTAAGCTATATAAGGACAGGGTCTGCATCAGACTTATCTTTGTAACACCACAGTACCTTGGATGCTATAGACATTTAATAAATGTTTTTAGCTTGAATATATATATATATATACATATACATATACATATATATGTATATGTATATGTGTGTATTATATATATGTGTGTATATATATATATAATCTCTATAACAATTGCACAAGAGAACACTTGATTTTAGTGTTTTTAGGAATTAGAATTTGCCATGGAAAGAAGAGATTTAAAGGAAACATCCACATGTTAAAATGGCATAAGTAAGTAATGTTAAAATATGGAAAGACAACAACACAGTGCAATACCCTGATTTGTGCTATATTTCTGATGACAGTAAAGAATAAGTATTTAACAAATCACTCAGTCTAGAGACATGAATAACTGTGCACTTCCATGATTGGAATGGAAATCATTGGCATTAAAAAAAGAGAAAAAAATCCACTTATTTAAGCAAATAAATGCTACCGTTTGTCCCAATTTACACACAAAGCATACTTATATATATATAACATATACATATATCTCATATATATATAACATATATATATATATAATTTATTAAACCCTAAATGGGGTTTAATGCCATTAGCATATATTACTATATAACCCTTCCCTGCAAATTCAGGCCTGAATTCCAGTTAGAATTAATAAGAATTGTGTATTTACCTGAGGGAAGAATAATTCCCTAATTAACTGGCCCTAGTGGCATATTTTCATTGTGATTTTCTTAAATTTACTTTGTTTCATAAATGAAATGAAAATAAAAAAAACCCTCATTTTGCAAATTGCTCAGAAGTGCAGAAATCACATTTTATTTGGATTGCTCTATCATATAAGTCCCAGTTCTTTAAAGTCTGGTAGAGGCTGCCTTGGGCTATGCGCTATTGTAATTACGAAAAAAAATTCTTTGCAATCGTTCAATATGTTCAAATGTCTCACCATTGGAGACATTTCTGATGAATCAGTAACAGGAAATAGCGCTGTGTCTATTATAGTTGTTACATTCTTAGAAAGCACATGCATAAAACATGGGCAGGGGTCCTGGGTATGCCATCTTACCCATGATGCACATCTATAACGCTCAGACATGATGTCTAGAAACAGAACATAGGATAACCTGAAGGAAAATCTTTATTACTAACCTATCGCCAAGGTTAATTTTTAACAGAATAAGATATAATTATTTTCTCATTAAAAAATAAATTCTCTAAAGAGGGATCATCTGAAAATGGAAGAAGAAAGATAGTAGAAGACAGAAAGCATCTCCTAGGATGAAAAACATTGATGATAAACACAAATACAATTTGAAGATCTTCATTAAGGTTTTTAAGATGACATGCTGAAGACAGATAAAAATCATGCTTTTGAGATCCTAGGTATCATGACAAAGGGAATGAAATACAAGATTCAATGTTCCTATCATCTGGCTGCTAATATGCTGGTATTTCGTAACTCAGTCAATTTCATGCCCAATTATAAAATATTATTCTCAAAGTTAAACAACAATCCTGTTCAGAGTGATTGAATTGTTTATACCCTTACTAGTATACCCCTCACTGATAGTAGGTACTGAACTGTCAACAAATTGTTTTGTTAAAACTACTTTATATCCATTGCATTCATCATAAACACATTTATAGAAACACGTAACACTTAGTCTTATTAAGCTTCTGGCTACTTAAAACCAAGAATATAAAACCTTAAAGATGTCAAAAAGTGAAATAAAAATTAGTTGCATGAAAAAAGTGGACTTTGTTTTCTTTCCCAACTCACTACGTGCTAGAATAACAAAAAAAACATGTCACAACTGAGTTCATAAAATACAATTAAAACAAACAAATAATGGCCCCCTCCAAACCAAATACTTAGAAAGACAACATCTGGATGACTAACTGGATTTCTCAATTTTCATTTGCAAACCCAATGTTGTTGTCATTTGAGATCTCCCCCCACTGTAGCTACATGATAATACCCTTCAGGATAGCAAAGAACAATAGTGTTATCTCACTTTCCATACCACTCATTTCCAAGGTGTATTTATTTGAAACTTGTAGAAAACCAGTGACTTCATCAACTCTTAACATGCAATTTCAGAAAAGCTTGGTCTGAATCAAATAAGGAAAACAGTGGCTGATATGCAAATTTAGATAACCAGAGCAGTAATCCTAATCTAAACCCAATTTAAAAAATAATTAAATAGAATACATGTATGTTACAACATTGAGTAAATCTCTGAGCCATAATTATGTATGTTTATACATGGAGAAATTTCTACAAATCAAACCCAGAGCAAATCTCCCCTCATCGGAGGGAGGTGAGAAGGGGGTACAGAGTAGACAACCATCTGATCAATTCCTCTTGCAAAGATTTATTCTCATCATCTCAGTGATAAGTACTGTTATTTCTCAACATCTAAAAGGACTTCAAGTTCTGTCCACACCCTCGAAATTCAATCCTCCATAAAACTGGTACCCTGGGACAAAGCTCCAGCAGATCCATCCTAGTTACACACTTAGTATCATTGCCAGTTAGACAATCATATTTTTCTACTTTGAGTTTAAACTACTCACTTTTTTTTTACCATTCTACAAAATGTCTGTTGCATAAGGTGTATTAAATGCAAAAAGACCAAATGTAGTACAAGACAAAAAAGGGGTAGAGTTTTTCCCCTTTTCTCTAGTCAGTTTCCTACTGGGTCATGAAACAATCTTAATTAGAAAAATAGCAACTGAAATACAATTTATCTTAATGATACAGTGGTTATTAAGCCTCTCCTAAATAAGGAAAAATGTTTTATTTTCACAGTTAAAGGGGAAAAACCACCACCACCACCAAAAAACAATGAGCAATAATGTTGATTCTTTAAATCCCTTAACCTGCAGGTACAAAACTGAAAATGCACATTTGGGCAAGCTTACCATTATCAGTTTTCATATTTCCGTTGCTAAGTTGTTTTAATCTCTTCTGATGAGATTTTCCATTGTAGTGGATTTGTGCTTGTGCAGCTGAATTCAGCTGAATATTACAAACGTTGCACAAAGTGAAGTTGGTATGTTTCTTCTCCCTTTCTTGCTTTTCTTCAGTGTCATCAAGTACTAGCTCAGTCTCACTTTCCCCATCTGGTGCACATGGGAAATCTGGAGAACAGAGAAAATGATTAAGAAAAAGTAAGTCAAGGAACTGATGTTTCTTCTCTACCACAGACTCTCTGGGTCAGACTATAATGGTCTTTTGCTGTTCTTTCACATATGATTCCCCATCTCTCATCCCTGTAACTCTATATTCCTGCCTGAAATATATTCACTTCTAAACTTCATTTCTTGCAATACTCAAATCCTGAAATCCATAATTTCCTTCAAAACTTGAAAGTTCAAGCATAACCTTCAACACGAGGTCATTCCTGGTGTCCCCAGCTTCTAGGGTGTTCTGCGGTAAGGTCAAGTTGTATATGCTTTGCTTGATTGACGTATAGATATGTGTGTATATATGTGTATGCAAACATATGTGTATGTACATATATATACGCATATACACATACATGTATATGCGTTCACACATGTCTGTATACATACATACATACACCTGTGTGTATGTGTACACACAGATATGTCTGTGTGTATGTATGATATATATGTAATACATATGAGAATATATATGGCAATCAACTAACACAAATTGTTTCTTATATCTCTAAAATATTTTCAAGAATAAATTATGAATAAATTGGCATGTAGCTAAAAGCACAAATTATCACTGTCAAAATGGGAGCTAAATAGAAGAAATGACATAGATACTGATTATTATGACTCTATATAAACATGCAAGCAATATAAATAATTTGCCATGACAAAGAGACCAAAAGAACCTGAAAATGCCTTAGTCAATAAGTTTTGACTTGCAAAGAGAAGCAAAATTTCAGCAAAGGTCAATGCATATTTAGAATATAGACTCTTTTGTAAAATCTTGTGGAGATAGATAGTGGGAATTTATGAGTAGAATTGCTTCACAAAATGGAGAAGCAGTGTGGCAGTGGAAAAGCAGTCTAAAGAAAGCTTGGTGAGATACCCAAAGAAGCGTAGTCATCTTTGGGGCATTTAAAGATGAAGTTGGAAGGAGGACCAAAAGCAGACAAAAGATGGAAAACAGCAGTTAAGAGGTTAATGACAAACTTTTTTGACATCAAAGAAAACAGAGCCCCTACACTTGGATTTGACCATTATATCCCCAAGTGCGTGGAAAGAGGAGGTAGATATGACATTCAAGAGTATAAAGATGGACGAAAGCACTGAGATTATACCAGCTGTTTTTGTTTGTTTGCTTATTTGTTTGTTTGTTTTGTGTGTGTGTGTGTGTGTGTATGTGTGCGTGTGTGTGTGTGCATTAAGAATCCCAAAGTAAGCACCCCTCTGTTGTCTTTCATTTTTATATCATGACCAGGTTGACTTTCTTCCCTAATCTTCAATATCTACAATTGCATCATTTTATAGCTCTTCTTATATTTAAGTTGTCACTCATAACATGCATCAAAAATTTCAGGAGTGTTTTCCTAAATATACATATGATGAAAAGTCAATCAACCATGAAAGTGTATTTTATTTTCTTTTTTCATAGATATAATTTTCCTATGTGTTTTATCTGATACAATTAAAATCTTATAAAATTTAAATGTATAAGATGCCTTAAAAGATGCAGTGATAGTGATAACTTTGTTCCGTGATCTCCTGATGATAAATATTTAACAAGGTATAACAAAGAAAGGCTCATTCTCATCAAATACATCTGTTATAATCATTGGGGATGTCCAAAGCAGAATGCAAATAAAAGGGGGAGTCCCTTTTGGTGGTGAAGACCTCCAGATGTTCTTGTCTGCAGAAGATATTGGGCTGATTGGACACATTTAGTTCAGAGTTGTACCTAGGGATTGTTCTTTATGGGGTGAATATTGCAAATGACAGCTAGGAAAAAAAAAAAACAGCACACTGACAACTTACTGAAGATGGGGTGGTTGGGTGGAGCAGGGGAAAAGATGACCTCATTAAACGTCCCCATCTAGAAGTTTTTTTTTTTGGTCCAGGCTCTGTTGCTTCTCCAATGTTGAAAGATTGCGTGATTTATCAGGGCCCCCTACATTCTATGCCTTGGAGCAAAGCCTCAAGTGCCCCATCCTATCAGTGAACGTAACTTAGACAGACAAGTATGCTATAGTCAAAAGAATACTGCTTTTAGAGTCAAGGGACTTAAATCTAAATGCTATCTCTGACACATATTATGTGTTCCACCCAAGATAAGTCACTTAGTAACTCTGGGCTTCATAGTTCTCATCTGTATAATGAAAGGATTAGACCAGATAGCATCTGAAGTCCCTTCTAACTCTAAATCTATGATTCTATGTAAGATGGATCAAAAAATGAATAAGGGAAGAAATGTGAGTCATTCACTTGAGTCTTTACCTCTAAGGTTACTTTCCTTGTATTCTGTTTCCATTGTGTATTTATTTACATGCTTCAGTTCAAATCCCCTCTCTTTCAGTAGGCCTTTCCATCCCATCCTTCTTCCCATCACTGTTACAGCTCTCTTGAGATAACGTTCCATTAGCAATATATATATATATGTGTGTATATATGTATATATATATATATATACACACATACACACATATACACACATATATACATATATACATACATATATGTGTGTGTATATGTGTGTGTATACATATACATATATATATATATATATATATATATATATATATATAATCTTATGTGTATATAATTGCATGTTGTCTCCCCAACAGGATGTGAGTTTCTTGAAAGGAAGTTATGTTTTTTGTCTTTCTTTATATTCTCTGTGTTTAGCACGGTCCTTAGCATATAGTAAGCACTTAAATAGTGGCTGACTGGTGTGCAACAGCCAATGATTTGGGGAGATCCAGAGTTCCTCTTTTTTTCTATAGTCCTCATTTAAAAGTTCAGTCTCTTGAAGTACGTTACTGATAATGATATTGGATTAACTCTCCTCAATCTTGGTCAGACCCTACCCAACCTTACAATGAATTTAATCCAAGGTAGTGAAAGCCCACTGTGTTCTACTCAAGTTTGGGTGAGGATAAAATTATTTGATTAGATTGCCCAAAATTGGGGGTGGTCTGGGTGTAGAGACGGTCTCTTTGTCCCAAAGTGACATGATGTCACTTTCTCGGCCTCTCATTGGAGTGGGCTCACTTCTTATTGTAATATTCATTTTATCATTAATTGTTGGCCAATCAGAGTTGATTGTCATCTACTAAAATACCCACTTTTCTAAGGGCATAAACCATGAGCCTGCCACCAAAAGAGTCTTTGGCATTTAAGAGTGCCACTGACCTCTTTTATTAAAATGTTAGCATTATTAATAAAATGACCAATTACCCTGACATTGTCTAGATTTTTTTAAACATCACACTAACTGAATGAGTGACTGATCTTGCCTCTCAAAAATTGCATAGTGTTCTCAGTGATCCCATATTTGTCACTGAAAGTCCATTTAGTTTAATCAAATATACCTCTAGTAATTTGATACAGCCAAGGGGCATAAGAATCCACAAGTTGTGAAAACTTGAAAGTTGTGGGTTGCCCAAAGCATGTCACTGGAGTGATATCTCATGGGCATGAATGGGCAGTAACATATAACCTACAAATAGCTGCTCAGGAACAATAACTTATAGAGTATTTTCAGCATGGTGTATGACTGAAGAAAATGGTAAGATGCCTAAATACCAAGAGAAAGGAATAATTGCTGGACAGCCTACATGCTCCATTAGCATCTATGAAACATTCAGAGATGAAGGTGAAGATTCTGGGAGTACTGTCATGTTCTTGTGTAGGGATTATGGTAACATGAAGAGGAAGATCACAGGCTTGGAAGGCAGGAATGACCCACTTGTGAGGCATAAATGCCCATGTCAATGAGATCACAAAGTATTAAAGTATTATTTACCTGGAGTATAGTTAATGGGACATAAGAGCACAGAAATTTACTTATCCTCATAACATTATAAATATGTTGAGTTTTACTGAATTAGTAAAATAGAAAATGAATACATTTAGTTGTAATGTCTTTCAGGAATCAAGCACAAGAATGTATAACATTATTTCATACTTGTGGAAAAATGAGAAAACCACAACTTGCCGTAAAGACTTGCATGACATAGAAAACTTCACTAGAGAAAAATGTTTGCACTGAATCCATTCCCCACTAGAGTGCAGTATGAATTTAAAATTCAATTTCTTGCATTTGATGGCTTCTTTAATACTAGATATCTAAGTAAAGTATTAGTGTAATCTCATAAGTAGCCAGATAGGTGCATGTATATATATAATATATGTGTGTGAGTTCCAAATCAATCACTAGTATATAATCATAAAATTCATGAACCTGCAGACATGAAAAATCATAAAAGAAAAAATTAGGGAAATAAACAGAATGAGACAGCCTAAAAGCTAACATTCTGTGTTATTATGATGCATTGATTAACAGCAGTAGTATTACATTACTTTAATATAAATATTAATTTGGAAATATGACACTAAAGACATTTTAATAAGCAATACATCACTCATAAAAATAAAGTTATAGCAATAGAATATGGCTAGATTATACAAAAGCTATAAATCAAGATTAGTGCATTTTTCAATGACAAGATTTATTTTTTAACACATTGTGACATCAGGCACTAAATTTGCTCTCATTCAAAATTGTTCTACTGGTTTGTATTTGAAGTCATAGCTACATTTTTTAGGAATGACATTAAAAAGCTAAGCATACAGTGGTAGAAGGTGTGGAGGAGAATGGCATTGTATTATACATGCATGCCTATGGCCTAATTGTCCTGGCTAGTGGGAGGGACAGCTTTGCTGAGAGACAAGAAGTCTGAGGATAATTTCCTGCTCTGCCACAGGATGGTGATCTAGAGAAAGTAACTTAACTTCTCCAAATCTATTCCATTGTCAGCAAAATGAGTATAATAAAAATAGGGACATGATCTCAGATGGCTTTTTGGGAAACCATTGAATTATTTTGCCTCTGATGTTAGCATCTCCACCCACCCACTGCATACACACGTATATGTGTGTGTATAGTGTGTGTATGTATTTCT